AAAAAATAATAATATTTGTGTATGAAGGTTTTTGATGAAGCATGTTATTCCATCGGAAATCCTCTGGAAACATTAAAAGACAAATTATTGGGTTAGGCCAGGGGGACAATGCACAGACTGCTTGTGTTCTTTTCTGATTCATGTGATCTAAAAATAACATTTCAACAAACAATAAAAAGAATGGGATATTTGCATAGTATCAACATATTTTCTAATAATAACAACATCCAACCTTTTAGACATGACCTGAAGAATAATTATCATTTAGCTGAATTATTTATAGCAGGGGTGTCAAACTCAAGTGTGTCATGGGCTGCATCAGGATTTTGTTTGTCCTTGGGGGCTGGGGTGGGCATGGCCTGGTTGTCGCAGCTGACTGAGTAGGTGTGGCTGGCCCAGGGTGGCAGGGCGCAATACGTTGCCATCTCTGGGATTGCCCAGCAGCCAATTTCCCAGCCTATCATGGGCAGGATTGAGCCTGCAGGCCACAAGTTTGACACATCTGCTTTATAGGCATGTCAGGAGGTGAAATAGCAGAGAAAGTTTATGATGTCTGAATTTTACTATCTCTCCAAAAATATATGGAGTGACCATTCAAATATTTAACTGCAGTATGTTTTGTGTTTGAAGTTTTTGAAGACTTTGAAGTTTTCGTCTAAATCATCATAATCAGACTTATCAAAATGTCAAACATAAGGTCCAATAAACAGCAGAAATGCAACATATACTGTATGTATTCTTTTGTTTTTGAGTTAATTTGATTGTATCTGCTTGCAATGCTCAGTCCTGATTCTAAAAAGGATGATGGCTTCATTCCATTCATGAATTAAAACCTGAATAATCTTGTCATAGAAGAACAAAGCTATTTTTTAATCAAGTATCCTGGAAAAAATAAATCCATAAACATGAATTTCATGAAATTCATAAACATATATAGTTCACAAGCTCTCAGTGGCCTAGATAGATCAAAAACATTTCCTTTTAAAAGGGAGGGCTGAATGTGATGACTGTGTAATGAATCTTCAACTCACATCAGTAAATCAGATCTTCAGCTATAAAACTCCTTCACTCACTCCAGAGGTCCAGGTCCTGACTCTTTCCAATTCTGCTTAATGAATCAGAAGAAAACAGGGCCATCTATAATTGGAAAAATAATAATAAACCCATGACCAATTTTATTTTTGCTGTTCATTAGAATGGAATGAAATTGCAAATTGTTAAAAATTATTGCAATGCTTTAACACCTTCCATCCTTTCCATTATGTTAACAAACATCCTCACTCACTTTTTAGTTGAATACAAGGAAGGCCTTGTCTTAATGAGGGAATAGATAAATTGACTATCAGGATTTAAAGTTGAGGAAAAGTATAAGGGATTAATGTAAACATAAAGCATATTCTTTAAGGCAGCAAGGTAGACAAGAAAATCAGAATGCTACTTAAATCTTCTTAGAATGGGAGCTGAGGAAAATAAAGTGATCATGCACCTTCACAGGACTCTGTGACTGTTGATTCCTACGGCCCATTTTGTGCCGGTTGGCCCTGATCTTCGATTCAGTACATTTGGAAAGTTTGACATTGTCAAGGTCAAAGGCAACTTAGCCCAATTCCTTCTTTAAATGCATAAACTGTGTATGTGATTGTCCAGAAATGTTGCAAAGCCTCATTTAGAAAATCATAGAAAGTACTACGTGATCGTAGCACTTTCTTTCCTTCACAAAGCAACATCTTGCCTTCCAGACCTTATTTGTCTGAGAAGACAGTGATCCCATGCACAATGTTCCCATTGTTTTCAGACTAATGCACTCCATACACTTTTACTTCGTTCAACCATCATTACCTCTTATCAGCTGCTTGAGGAGAAGCTTTCCTCATAATTATTCATTGAGTCATAACTTATACTAGAGAATCGGATGAAAAACTGCTCTAATTCTGAAGACAATTTCACATGGGACCAACTGAATGTTTTGAGATATATGAGCTGTGGAATGGGTGGGAACAATTACTCTTCTCTTAACTACTCCTGTTCAGAAGACTGTGTGCTTATATGCTCAATTTAGCTTTTATGCTGAACCAGTTTGGATGGGCTATTAGACCAGCATTTCACCGAGGAGAAGATAAACATTTTGGATGCTGCCTGCAATTATCAGCTACAGCCAACATGACTAGGATATGCTTTCTTAGAAGGTTTTCAAGCCACAATCTTCTTACACTAATCCTTGAAAAAAAACATTCTGAAGGAAATATATCACTAAATTTGCTACACTTAACTTCAGAATGCAGAAAATACAGGGAAGACCCTAAACCAATAAGAGTTTAACATGATCAATAGAAGATTGTAAGAAAGCTGTAAGTATTTTGCTTCAAATACTGCAAATCCTCAACAAAAACAGAGTCTCCAGTCTAATCCAGTCTAGGCTATAAGGAAATAAAATAACTTGCACACTCTCTCATGTTTCCCCTATATGTCCTGCTTGCCGCAAATCTGAGCAATATGTTCAAGAAGCAATTTGGAAAGGCACCAAGCCTTAATTTCTGCATGAAATTTATGAGGACCTTGTTATCACTGAGGGACAACCAAACCAAGGGTTTCAGGTAGAGCTGAAAATTATTCCACACAATCCAATTAAAGTCTTGGTCACTGCTTCAAATGGGGGGGGGGGAGCGTACTCAAGGATTTGGATCAGATAATACCCATGTGACCATTCCCTTCTATATGCTCCATCACTCCTCAGGATTCACTGCCTGAAGCTGCTGAAAAGAGAAAAGAGATGTCTAGAGCACTGTTGGTGCTTAATAAAGACTGGACCAACTAAACATTGGTTAGAACCACTATTAAGCCTACCTTGTGGCAAAGGGTGGCAAAGTGCCAGTATTTCTACACATTCATTGCATCTGCTAATAGTTGTCCCATGGCCTTGTTTCAGGTGACACATGCTCTCTTGAGTGAAGGGGGCTCTGAGAGCCTCCTGCAGGGGTGTGTAAAAGAATATTTTCAGCCTTTGTCAAATTGACTTTTAATCCTAAATCGCACTGTACTGGATTATTTTCATTCATTATCTAACTTCTCTTTTGGGGAAAGTGACTGACAAAATGGTTGCAAAGGTCCTTAGATGAAATAGATTATCTGGATCTCCTTCAGGGGGACTTTGGTACGTGATGGCGTTGGTCACACATGAATGATCTCTGTTTTTAAAAAGTTTTTTTTAATTACAAACAAAACAACAAATAAAACCTTTCAATTGTACAATATGTCTGTTTGGTACATATATCACATGCACAGAGTCTATATTCCTTTCCTCTTAACTTTACATTCATATTATATTCTGATCAACATTCCATATCATATTATATTATTATTATAATATCATTAAAATGTTAATTTCAACTCCAAGCTATTTTTAAAAGCAAATCTCAACTCTTAGTAAATTATATTCAAATTGTAACTTATTCAAAAATAATCATCTATAGACTATCATTACCATTACATTATACTTTACTTTCTTACTCTTCTATCTAACTATTGATAAAATAAATCCCAAATCTTATAATACTCCTTTTCTTCTCGTTCTCTAATTGCTAATATTAATCTACTCATTTCTGCACATTCCATTATTTTCTTAATTACCTCCTCCTCTGTCAGAATTTTCTCATTTTTCCAATTTTGTGCCAATACAATTCTACCTGCAGTTAAAACATTAATAATCAAGTATGTTATTTCTTTACTATAACCTTCAGGTAAAATCCCCAATAAAAATATCTCAGTTTTTAAATCTATGTGCTGTTTTATCATTTTTTCCAACCATGTGTGTATTTTAGTCCAATGTCTTTTAGCTTCTGCACATTTCCACCAGTGATGGGATTCAATTTTTTTTTAACTACCGGTTCTGTGGGCATGGCTTGGTGGGAGTGGCAGGGAAAGGATACTGTAAAATCTCCAGTCAGAGGTGGTATTTGCCAGTTCTCTGAACTACTCAAAATTTCTGCTACCGGTTCTCCAGAACTGGTAAGAACCTGCTGAATACCATCTCTGATGTCCACTACATATGGTAATATGATCCAGGTATCTGATGACATTGCCAACATTTCGCCAATTTGTCCTTGAATATCTTTGCTATTCTTGCCGGGGGTAAATGCCACCTGTAAACATCTTATACAAGTTCTCTTTATAAGCTGTTGACATTGTTAATTTATAGTTTCTAGTCCACAATTTCTGCCATTTATCCAAATCTATCCCATATCCAAAAATTTTCCCCCAAGCAATCATTGTTTCTTTAACTTGTTCTTCTCGTAATTTCACTCTTAATAAGTAACCGTATTTTTTATTTAAAAATAAACTTTATTAAAGATTAAAAACAAAAAGTATGTACAATACATAGTATACGACATTTTATTGCAAACAAAATCAATATGAAAAACTTAACAAATAAGCATAATATATATATATACATACTGTATATATTTCTACTCAATTAGATGGTGTGTTCTTTTCTCAAAAACAATTTTACTAATATTCATTTCCTGTTTCTGATAAATACTCTTAATCTAACCACTTTATTTTTCCATACTTATCTTTTTATTCCCTGGTTTTTATCCTTAATCCAATTGTGCCATTTTTCCCAAACTGTACTATATTTTGAGTCTACCTCAACCTTTAGTTTTTGGGTAAGTACGTCCATTTCAGAGCAATCAAGAACCTTCTGAATTATCAAATTGTTTGTTGGCATTTGTTCATCCTTTCAGCATTGTGCCAATGCAATTCTTGCTGCCGTAGTTATATAGAGAATTAAATATTTCATTTCTTTTGCATGATCACCTTTTATCATTCCCAATAAAAATATTTCAGCCTTAAACTTTAGTTGAATATTTGTAATTTCTTTTATCCAAATTCTATTTTTGTTCCAGTATTTTTTACTTTTTGGGCAAAGCCACCAAGCGTGGAAGAAGGGCCCCCTGTTTGCTTACATTTCCAGCAAAGCGAACTTAGATTTGGGTACATATTAGCCAACCTTGAGGGTGCCAGGTACCACCGGTAACACATTTTGCATTGATTTTCTTTATAGACTGCTGATTTTGTTATTTTATAATTTTGCTTCCAGATTTTTTTCCAATCTTCCAGGTTAATGTTGTGCCCTACATTCCTTGCCCATGCAATCATTGGGCCCTTAACTATCTCTTCCGCCATTTCAAATTCTAATAGGTAATTATTAATTAATTACCTATTATTATAATTATAATAATAAGTCATTATTAATCCCTCTAATATTTTATCTAACTGGTTCGGCTTTACCTCAATTCCAAATTCTTCTACATCTTTTTTGTACCTTGTTTTGAGTTGCAAATGTGGCCACCACTCTATTTTCATGCCTTGCTCTCTAAGTTCTTGGTTTGTCTTTAGTGTTCCTTGGAAGTTTAAAACATCATAGTATCTTCCAGTTTCTAAAGCATTGGGGTGGATTAAAGCCTCCATGATGGATACCCACCCTGGAATTTTTATATAATGTCTATGTTTAATCTCTTTCCAAATCTTCATTAGTGAATTTTGAATTACATGTCTATTAAAGTAGGAATAGGTCTCTATTTCCAGGGTTCCACATGAAGGCATGCCACCCACCTGCTAGTCATGCCCTTCTAGAGTTAGGATTCTTTTGTTTCTCAGATTTGCCCATTCTTTAATCCATGTTAATGCTGCCGCTTTATAGTATAGTTCCCAGGCAGGGAGTCCAAATCCACCTCTGCCTCTGTTATCTTGTAGTGCGCTTAGTTTTATTCTCGCCCTTTTTCTTCAACAAATGAATTTCGTGATAATTTTATTTAGTTCATTAAAAAAAATTATCCAGTTTTACTGGGATAGTTTGAAAAAGAAATAGTAGTCTTGGCAAGATGTTCATTTTGATGGTCGCAAACATTGATAATTGTATTTTCCCCCATTTTTCTAAATCCCTTTTTATTTCTTGTACCAATTTTACATAATTGTCTTCTTTTATTGTTGAACATCTTGCTGTGAGCCAAATTCCCAAATATTTAATTTTTTAAACAATTTGTACCCCCATTACTTCTACTAATTTCTTTTTTTGATTATTAAGTTTTTTGTTATCATTTTGGTTTTGTCTTTATTAATTGCTAAACCTGCCACTTCTCCATATCTCTCTATCTCTTTAATTAACTTTGGTCCTGTTTTTATTGGTTCTTGTACATACAAGGTCGTCTGCAAAAGCTTGGACCTTGTATTTTTCTTATTTAATTCTTACTCCTTTTATTTCCAAGTTCAGTCTAATTCTTCTTAACAAGATTTCTAGTGTCATGATAAAGAACAGAGGTGAAAGTGGACATCCCTGCCTGACTCCTTTTCCTATCTCAAATGTATTTGTAATTTCTCCGTTGACTATTATACGTGCTTTTTGATTTGTGTAAATTGACCCTAGCATTTTTTCAAATTTGTCCCCAAATTTCATCTCCTTTACTTGGTGCATCATGAATTACAAATTTACTTTATCGAAAGCTTTTTGAGCATCCAGAAAAATTAATGCGATCTGTTTTTCTGGATGTGCCTCATAGTACTCCAAGATGTCTAGTACTGTCCTTGTATTGTTTTTTATTTGCCTTGTTGGTAGGAAACCATTTTGATATGGATGTATGTTTCTGTTCAATATTTGTTTCAATCTATTGGCCATTATGTTCATAAATATTTTATAGTCAGCATCCAATAAAGAAATTGGTCTATAATTTTTTATGTTAGTGGTATCTGCACCCTCTTTTGATATTAATGTAATGTACGCTTCTCTCCAAAACATTGGAGCTTTGCCCCTGTAAGTACTTCATTGTAAATTTCTCAAAGAATTGGGTCAAATATTACACCTAATGTTTTATATATTTCTACTGGTAGTCCGTCTGTACCAGGGGTTTTATTGTTTTTTTGCTTGCTAATTGCCTCTTTTAGTTCCTCCTTAGTGATCTCTTCATTTAGTCTTTCCCTTTCTTCTTCTGTAAGAACTGGAATATTTTCTTCCTCTAAGTATTGTTTAATTTTCTCATCACTTGTTTCTTCTTGCTTATAGAGTTCACTAAAATATTCCAGTGCAATTTCTTTTTTCTTTTCTATGTTATTTTGTAACTTTCCCTCCTTATCATGTAGCTGCTGAATCCATCTTTTTTTTCCCTTCCTTAATCTTCCTTAATCCTTAAATGCAAGCCACCTTCCCAGCTTATTTGCATTTTCAAAATAATTTTACTTTACCAATTTCAAGGGTCTCAAATTTCTTTCTTGTTCCAATATGTTCAATCTATGTTTAGCTAGACTACATTGATTTATAATTTGTTCATCCCCCAGTGCTAATAGTGCTTGTATTTTCAATTTTCTAATCTCGTTCTCTAATTCATTACTTTCTTTTTCTTTTTTCTTTCTGGCATTATATGCAATTGTTAATCCTCTCAGATAGGCCTTCGCTGTGTCCCACAGGTTCTATAAGGAAGTGTGTTCTTTTATATTCACTTCAAAAAGCATTTCTAATTCTTCTTTTTTTAATTTTCTAGGTATTCTTTATCTCTCAGAATCTGTGGGTTCAACATTCATCTCCCTCTTTGTTTTTGTTGGCCTTTCCATGTTACTATTAATGGGCCATGATCTATCCACACCTTTGGTGCTATTTCTACTTGTGCTATATCATTCACTAGAGTTTTGCTTATCTAAGCCATATCAATTCATGATCATGATTTATGGGGAATGGAGTAAAAGGTGAACTGCTTTTCTTTTGGATTATGTATTCTCCAAATATCTGTTCAATTTTGTTCTTCTGCCATATTGAAAAAAGGTTTTTGGAAGGGTGTTCTTTTTTTTTTTTAACTGGTATTTTGGTAATTCTTTTTTTGTATCCACAACTGCATTAAAGTCCCCTATTATACAAGTATCTTCTTTACTTAATTTTAGAATTTTCTCATGGATTTTTTAATAATACATTTCTTGTTGGTTGTTGGGTGCGTATATTACAACTATTAGTAGTTTCCTCTATTCCCCTATAATTTCTAACATTAATGTTCTACCTACTGAATCTACATAAAGTATTTCTGCTCTTATTCCTTCTCTAACATAAATTGCTACCCTCTTTTTTTTCTTCTGCTAGTGCTGCATAGAGTTTTCCTAATTTTTTATGTTGTAAATATTTTTTATCCTGAGCTCTAATGTGTACCTCCTGGAAGTATACTATATCCATACTATATCCATCCATAAAAGAGGAGCTGGAGTTGTACTGTATGTAAAGGACTATTGTTACAGAAATTCATGAAACCAAAGAGGAAAATCTCCTAGAATGCATACGAGTCAATATAAAAGAAAAAAAAAGTCCATATAAAAGAAAAAAGAATGACATGGCCATAAGTGCATATTATAGGCCACCCAATCAAGCAGAAAAATTGATGTTCTTTTTGCCAACCAACTAACAAACATATGCAGGAAACATACAACAATAGTAATGGGAGATTTCAATTATCCTGATATCAATTGGAAAACTAATTCTGCACCAAGTGAAAAATCAAATAAGTTCCTAACTAACCTAGCTGACAACTTTGTTGTCCAAAAGGTAGAGGGTGAAACTAGAGGGACAGCCATACTAGACTTAATTCTTACTAATAGAGAAGAAGAAGGAGTTGAAACTGCAGGAACCTTGGGTGAGAGTGACCATGTCATACTAGAATACAAAATAACACAAACACAAGCAATAAAACATAATGATACCAGAGTCTTGGATTTTAAAAGAGCTGATTTTAATAAACTCAGAGAGAACTTGGGAAAGATTCCATGGATGAAAATCCTAAAGGGGAAAACAACTCAAGAATCTTGGGAAATTCTGAAAAGTACGATCATAGAAGCCCAGACCAGCACAATACCACTGAGGAAAAAAAAACAAGAAATCCAAGAAGAAACCAGCATGGCTGCACAAAGATCTCTCTGGCAAATGGAAAGAAAAAAAGGACAAGTAAAAAAAATGGAAAGAAGGACATACAAATAAGGCAGAATATCGGCAAATAGCCAGAATCTGCAAAGACAAAGTCAGGATAGCAAAGGCTCAGAACAAACAATGACTTGCAACAAAAGTCAAAGATAATAAAAAAAGTTTCTTCCAACATATAAATAACAAGAAAAAAAATCAAGGAAACAGTCGGTCCACTAAAGAGAGAAGATGGCAAGGAAGTAACAGGCAACAGAGAGAAAGCAGAACTGCTTAACTCATTCTTTGCTTCGGTCTTCACACAAAAACAAACTATAGCTCAACCCACCAAAAACATAACTAAAAGACAGACCAGAAATAAAAGTTAAAATAAGCAAAACAATAGTAAGAGAATGATCTTGATGAACACAAATCACCGGGGCTGATGGATTACATCCCAGAGTTTAAAAGGAGCTGGCAGAGGTCATCTCAGAACCACTGCACCATATATTTCAAAAATCCTGGAGCACCGGGGAACTACCAGTGGATTTGAAAAGAGCTGATGTGGTTCCTGTCGTCAAAAAAGGGGGAAAAAACAGACCCAGGAAACTATAGACCAATCAGCCTAACATCAATACCCGGGAAGATACTGGAAAAGATAATTAAAAAAACAGAACTGCCAACATCTAGAAACAAGTAAAGTAATAACTAGCAGTCAGCATGGGTTTATTAAGAACAGATCATGCCAAACCAATCTTATTTCATTCTTCAACATAGTGACTAAGTTAGTAGACCAGCAAAATACTGTGGACATAATATATTTAGATTTCAACAAGGCATTTGACAAAGTAGTCCACAACCTACTTCTTAGTAAGCTAGAAAAAAGTGGAATAGATAGCACCACCACTAGATGGATTCGCAACTGGCTGACAAACCGTACTCAACGAGTAGTCCTTAATGGGTCTAAGTCTACATGGAGGGAAGTAAGCAGTGGGTGCCACAAGGTTCCGTCTTAGGCCCAGTACTCTTCAATATCTTCATTAACAACTTAGAAGAGGGAATAGAAGGGGAACTTACCAAATTTGCAGATGATACTAAGCTGGCAGGAATAGCTAACACCCAAGAAGATAAGCTCAAGATCCAGATGGATCTTGACAGACTAGAATACTGAGCCATATATAACAAAATGAAATTCAATGTAGAGAAAAGTAAAGTCCTACACTAAGGCAAGAAAAACCAAAAGTATACATATAGAGTGTAACTGTGAGAGGGATCT